TGCTGTGACAGTTTGATAGTTTGCCAAAAAAAAAAGGAGTTGTCATGTTAGTTCTTAAAAGCGTGCTCAGCTAGTTTTTTTTTTAAGAGATTTATTTCCTTAAAATAGCATTTTCCTACTAAAACTGCCTGCTGGGCAGAGCTATCTGACAGGCAAGTAGAATTATCAGCATGTTTACTTTTCAAACATCTCTGCCACACTTAAACAGTTCTGCTGTGGTATCAAACGTACATGAGTGATGAGATGATAGGTTTTGTAAGAGTTTGTGTACTAGGATATAAAAAATTAAAATGTGTTACAGCATTTAAAGTGCCCTAATTTAAAGTGCACTAACACCTCCGTCCCAAACTAGTCAAAGCAGCGTCCTTATACCAAGGTAAAGCTGGAGCATACCTTTTTGGAACGTATCCTCAGCTACAAAGAATGTTGCCTGCCCATTAGCACAAATTATACTTCTGGTGGTGTTTGAAAGGTACGGAAGCTCCTTTACAGCTTCAGTTATCTGCAATTTCTAGAACAGGTCCAAGAGGATGTAGGCAGAGGTTTGGATGTGATCAGTGTACCATCCATGTACTGTCGGTTTTGTCTTGGAAGCAAAAAGCAAGTATTTCCAATGTAGCTTAACTCTGAAGGAAAGTTTTGAATTACTTTGGGGTGACAGTAAGGAAGGGAATAAAGGGACAAGTTCCCCAGTGATTTTTTTTTTTTTTGCAGAATCGCTATCATTCTGCTACCACAGTTCTTTACAAACAGAGGAATGCAGGGGGAAAAAAAACCCACAAGACTTCCCTTGTTCCAAATAAGATTAAGGAAGTGAGATAAATTTATGGAGTATTCATGGCACTACTTTGGATTTCTTTTATAAAATTTGGGACTTGGCTTTCGAGTCGATGAACATGTTGAGACACAAAATGAATTCTCTGCGGCCGCTAGAGCTACAAGGCTATGTAATCACTCTGGGAATGCCAAAGATTTTTATTTTTTTTTTGTAGATTTGTGTCACTTTCACTCCCACACATCTGGCAAGAGCCCCCTCTGCACTGGCTTCGTTGAAAATCTTATCTCATAGATCATGACTAGCAATAAATTCCAGCCTTTGTGCTTACTTATATTGTCCCACAGCCTGGAGTCACTGATTTTGTGGAACTAGGAATTCGGGCTGTAAAGTGTTTACTCACTAACACATACCAAAAAAAAAAAAAAACCACCAAAAAACCCGCCTCAAAACCAACCCTCTGGCTCTTTGTTTGCGAAGCCAGCTCTGAAAATGTAAATCATATCAAACTGACTCTTGGGGCCAAAGAAAACAGGCAGTTGGATTCCGTCCCTTTAGCTAAGAATCAGCCCTTAAATACCTCTTACGTATACACTTTTATAGAGTCAAACTGCTTTTCAAGTAACGTTTTCTCCCGTGTCCCAGAAAACGCAAAGAGCAACTCTCTGCACATGGGTGTGAGTGGGGCGCTGACGACGGCTTAAGCGTGCCAAAAACCTGTTGGCAAGCATCACTACAAACTGCTAATGCAGTTCTGCCACCGTTCTTCTCTAAGGTCACACCCGCACTAAAAAAAAAGGATGTATTTTTAATCCGTGTTGTAGTCCTTAAATACAGCTAAAGCTCCAGTTGTCGGCAAATGGTCTGTGCCAGGTGTTTGTTTCCCTACGTGCTAGTTCACATCAGTGAGTGTTTTTCTGCTATTGCATTCTGGAAGCATTCTTATTTACGGTATTTATCGTGCTATTCCTTTTCTGTATGAGAGAGATGGGGAGCACGAAGGCAGAGTTACCTCATACATCGAAGACTTTGCAACTAATAGTGAAAAAAGCTGGAAAGGTAAGAGAAGGCAAGAGAAATGAGGAGAGAGAATGACTGGTATAGATGCAGTTCTCTCTGCAGGCTAAAAGGAATAATTTGCCAGGGCGGAAGCAAAGGGACAGTTCCCAGAACTAAACCACAGATCTTCAGTTTAGCGACCTGTCTCCTGGACTACCGTTAATGAGCAGTTAGTAACGACCAGCAAGCATGGCCGGGCAGCAGATGCATTCTCTAGGCGTGGGGAGAAACAGTACAGAGACGCTTGAGATGCAGTCTAATATCCTTCTGTTCCTGATCATCAGGTTTCAGAAGAAAAATTGGCAACTGGCAGATAATAAAGCCAGAATATTTACCAAGAGTCCCAACAATCATTCTTGAGTAACTTATCCCAGCAAAAATTATATTATTCAGCATAGCAGAATAAACAATCAGAGTATAACGAACTTGAAGTGCCTTCCCCTTTTGTTTTCCCAGGACAAATTAACGATGTTTTGACTCCAGGTAGTGTTGCATAAAGTGAAATGTTACTTAGTTTTACCCAAAATACCAGGATAATCCAGGAACAAGCTGTAATCTAATTCTTGGCATTTTTATTTTCAGTCTCCTAAGTGAATACTAGGGAGTGCATGGAAGTGTTTCTTAATGGATCCCGATACATACCCGCATACGCTGCCATCTACAATAAGGTAGGGCATTATAGCTGCTGCGGGAACTTTAACTCACTTTCATTGACTTTAGGAGGATTAAGTCAGAAACAATACTATTTTAATGCCATTTTTTGTATTTACTTGGCAAACACTCTTGTCAATTTAAAGTTTCCCCTGGGAGGTGTCAAGAGGTCACTGAAATGTTCCTGGGCAAGGGAGGGAGAGCGGTTGAAACCTCGGCCTCCCTGCTGCTTCCTTCAGTGTTTTTCTTCATGTCATTAGTGCTGTACTCGGCCCTTTTCCCCCAGCTGCCATTAGAAGAGGGAGTGAGTGAACGTAAAAATGTTATTGAGAAACAGAGGGAAGAAACACAGAGAAGGTTTCCCTGCTGTTTTATTTGGCTAATTCTAGGCCTTGGTAACAGCAAACTTAAGTCACAGAAAGTCAGTATAGAATACATTGTCTAGTGTGCACAAAAAACTCCCAGATGCTTTCATCATGTTTTTTTTCCCCGGTTCATTCTATTATTCTGCAGAGTCTTCCACCCAAGGATCACACAGCCTTCTGACCTCTCTCTTCTCCTAGGGCAAGGAAATACAGTTCCCTACGGCTGAAAAAGCATCAGATTTCCAGAAACGAGGTACCCGCAATTTCCACGAACATCAGTGTAACTGTAAGGGAGCAGCATATTATTCAGGCACCATTACGGAGGGGCAGGAGAGACACAGCACATCGTACAGGCCTTGGACGCGAGGCTTCTGAATTTAAGGTGAAAATACCTGAGCTGAGGTATGAAAGACAGCTTTGTTAAAGCTAGTGACTGTAGGAGGGATCTGACCTGTTTCATACTATGAATTAGTGGGATCCCTCTAACAAGCCCCTGTGGTTTATCAGATGATAAAACAGGTAACTTCACAATTACTGGAATTTTTTAAAAACTATTTCAGTTATACATTTTTCACATTTTTTAACTGCTCTAAGGCAGAATAAAACATCTGTGGGGAGTTTTGCCAGCAAGTGAAAACAAAAATAGCGTTAAGTACATTATGACTTGATTAATGCAAGACAAACGTGATACGCTACACAGCTTTTGCTTCTCAGCAGGCCTATTTCACACTGTGTGTTCGTACCTAAATTTCTCTTTCTTACATTGCACAAACAGTCTTGCACTGTCCTTGACAGATGAGCTTTAGGAACTATTACGAAGCGGTTTAAGAGCTCCATCTGTTATGTCCCGTCCTTCCGATGGAGATTGCTTTCAGTGTGGCAGAATGAGCGGAAGCTCATCTCCTCACCAACGGCAGCTCAGAGTCGGGTGACTTGGCTCAAACCCATCATCTCAGCCGGTTAATCGACGACGCTATGCTTTGTGCCGAAACATGAGGGTAGGGGCACATTTAGTTCTGCTGGTCCTGATAATCACCAGCAGAGGGAAAGAACAGACGGCTGAAAACAGGAGCATCTTAACAGATCACAGTGGGATTTCTTTAAGTTTTAAGCTTTCTTGAAGTTTTACTGGGAGGAGGGAGGCCTTATGACCGTGCTCATCCATGCTCGGCTATTGTATGTATGGCTACATACTGGTATTCGTGGGGGAAAATCCGTCTGTTACGGCTCTGAGCAGACTAGTAACGGCAGTATCACTGCGTGGTTAACAAAGGTCGTGGGCCAGGATTGAACTGTGCTCCCTCTCCCAGCTGGCAACGCTTAACCTCTCCGTCCATTCGAGTCAGAGTTTGCTGGACTCATAAATAAGGCTTTAAAACTATTAAGCGTGAAAAAATAAAATATACTAGTATTTCTTAGAATTAAAAAGGCATAAAAGTAAGTCCAAATTTACTCTATATGGAGTAAATATATAATAGAGAGGAAGAAATGGAGTTTAGAGGGAGTACGACAGCTCCTGCAGTTTATAAAAAGGAGACTGACTGACCCTTGAAGCAGTCGTCGTGTCGGTGTAGCTGCACAATAGCCAGAGCTCCAGCTCATCATTATCGGCATCTCAGGTTTTCTGTCTTATGTCTCCCCCTCGAATCAATCCCGTCTTCAGAAAAAGGCGACGCACCTCGCTTTTGCCAAACTACTCTGACAGCGTATAAAGGAGTCGTAGCAGCAACCAAACGCGCAGCAAGGAGAACTCTGGATTGCTGATGCGGAAGATGATAGAAGGAAAAAATAGCATCCCTGAAGTATTGCTTGAGATTTTTAATTTTATTAAGAGAGCTAGAACTGCAGAGTTTTTGCTTAAAATTTGAATGTGGGGAAGTGCTATCCTATATTAAGGATACAGCAGAAATGCATACTTCAACCCTTCCCCCAGAGAAGAGATTACTGTCAGGACTGTCGGCAGGATACAGCAAAAATTAGGGTACGTCAAGGACCCGATTATGGTTCCATTCCCTTGGAGCGTGTCTGCATCAGCTTGAGCCAAAGCGCTCTTTAAAACTGAACCCCATTTTCTCCTGGCTGACTACAGTCCCTATGGGAACACCCATCGGCCGAGCAGAAGGCACTCATGCAACACCTCAGCCTCACACCCGATAGAATCGACCTCGGGGACGACTTGTGAAAGAACTCTCAAGGCCATGCCGAAGCAAAGCAAACGCTGCCTCGCTCGAGCCTTCCCACTGCGCAGTCTGCCTGGCGTTGGCTTTTGTTGTGCGGCCAACGTGAAAAAACTCTCCCAGTCTGTGGCTCTGCGAGTTTTTAAACTGTATCATTAAAAGAGAGTTAATGGAATTAGCTAAAGCTCATCTTGGTTTAAAAATGCCTTGAAAATAAAATCTGGAAGAGTGCACCAGATGAGACGTGCTGAAGGCGAGCAATTGAGCAGGAGCAGCCGAACTCCTGTATATGCGTCTCACAAGTAACGACAAATTAATGGATCTTTACGGAAGCAATTCAATTAAGGTTTTAGTTGCTGCAGAAGCGTTTTTAAGAGTCTTGCACAAGCCAACCGTTTAAAGTGCTACTATTTGAACTGATGAACTCATCAGCCCAGCTGGAAAACATCTCCAACTTGGAAATGCATTTGAAGCATGTATTGCATTAACACACTAATTTGAAGGAAGAAGGGCTTTATGGATTTTAAAACTAGTATTTAAACTCTGCAAATCGCTCCATCTAAACTGCTAGGATAAAAATGGCAAAGAGAAATGTTCTAGGAACGGTAACCATTGGGGTTTGGTTTATGCTAAACTTTAGTCTATGTGGCTCGTGAATGAACTCATTAGTTTAGATTAAGATGATCTAAGTTAAGATTTGAGAAAGCACGCAATTATTTGGGAAGAAAAAAACATTTAAAAGGGTTGAAAAATCAAATTTCCGTATTTTCTTTGGTTTATCACAGTTAATAAAATTAAGTAGAGCCTAGCTTCCTTTGAGCCTTGATGAGGTGCCTTTAGTGGAGAGATAAAAGCCCAATCAGTAATTTAGTCAGGGGCACGCTTCTACCCCCTCCCCCGGCAAAGGGGAAGATTGATACGGAGTCCAACCATACCCAACGTCACAGCCGTGCTAAAAACTTCCTATTAATTTTCTTTACAGTTGCATCTAGGCACTTGGGGAAACAAAGATTTGGGTTTACGTGTGGGGTTTTCAGAACACGGCGGCGTACAGGGAAATACCTACAGGAACTTAAGAATTTGCGCGCTGATTCAGCCTCGCCAGCTGCAGGACCCCGCCTAGAGCAGCGGGTACCCCCCCCCGTCTTTCCAGGCACAGCCCAACCCGCACAGGGGCTCGCACCCGCTGCAAAGCCACCGTGCCGTGTAAGGCACCGCTGCTGCTGCCCCGTGACAAACCTGAGCGGGCTTGGGATGCCTATTCTAAATGCTCTCTTAAGAACTCACGTTTCAACTCTGAGGTGCGGACAGTCAGAGTTTTGAAAGGGTGTTGTTTTCCCCTGCAAACAAATCTGACAAAAAAACCCCCCAAATCTTACAAAAATATTTTGTAAGTTTTAAACGGATTTAGGTGAGGTCGTAAAGCTTTAGAACAAAAGGGTTAGTAGAGAATGCATGTTTCAAGAAATGTACAGGATTTATGCACAGATGGGAGCAAGAAGCACTAAAAACTGCAGTAAGAATTACTGATCAAGGAGGTAGGTGGTTTAAGAGCAGAGAGAACCTCGTCAGGAATACAGCATGCTGGAACTTTGTTTCAATGAGCCATTCGCTTACCAGACCAGAGGGTCCTTAGTCATCTGCTTTGGTTCACGCCGCCCAACCAGGCAACGCATTTTTCTGAAGCACCTTCTAGTAGTAACTTCAGAGTTACAGAACACACTCGGAGTTCAGCAAACTGAAAAGCAAAAGCCTCTTTGGGCTCTGTTCTGCGAAAAAGATTTTAGGCACCAATGCTTGGGGTAGGATTGCTGTTACCTGTTTGGCTCCAAACAAAGCCAGTTAGCAGTCAATAACGTGCAATATTTTACAGAGTATGTTTTGTGCCAAAAATACCATTCTAGATCTCAATTTGCTACTAGACATACAACAGAAAATTCTTCATAGTGAATGTAATGTGAATACAAGCCAAATGCTCAACTAATTTCAGTAAGTTCTTACATACAGACTAATAAATCGTCCTGAAGTCACACTGTCCTTGGTGTCGTTATAGTGTACATTAAATAGGGATTTAAAATTTCAGAAAAAAGTATTTCTTTAGCAGACAAATGTATTTATGGTGTCAATTTTACATTAGCGCTCCAGGGATTTCAAGGATATCCGGTATTGGTTGGCAGGTTTGAAGATTATTCTTGAAAAGCTGTGTATATTTTTCAAATCATTAATTGATAAAAAGCTCTAAGTCTGTAAAGCTTGAAGTTTGCAGATGATGTCCATTTTTCTTACCAGAAGCAAGCCAACACACCGCGTAAGAACTGCAGACTGTCAAGAATGATACCATTTCAATTTAAAAAGAATTAAACACCCCCCAACTCTTACCTTCAGTATGACTGTATCACCTTCAGAAAATTCAAAACCATAGAGTGCAGAATATACTGGTTGGTATCTTCTTTCCATACAGTTAATCTATATTCATTTTAAATCTAAAGGTTTTGGGTCCTCCCCAGGTGGGCGAGGTATGATTTGAAAAGCAAACCTGAAAAAGGAAAATAATGGAGATCCATTCTTTATTAAAGTCTTCAGGGCTATTTGCTAAATGTCACGGATAATGCAGCTCATGAGGATCATCTCTCGGAACAGATCCTTCAGCAGTGAAAAGGGGAATGGAAGAGACGCCTAGGGAAAAGCCCCAGAGTTTACTGTGGGAAGTTAAAAAACAAACAGAAAAAAAAAAGAAAAACGAAGCAAGGGGAAGGAGAAGAGAAGCAGCACAGGACAGAACCGGCCCTGTTTCCAACAGCGATCATACCTGCTCATCAGATGAAGCAAGAGGTGTTTCTCAAGTAAATAAGGATATTTAAAAAATGAGTATGTTAAAGGGATTTATGATTATTAATTTTATTGTCATCGCAGGTTCCCAGGATACAGCTGAAACAGAGTAAGGTTCATCTGCCTTTAAGAATTGGACGCGTTTAAAAAAATTAACACTTTTCAGTGGGCAAAACTTTAATAGCAACACCATAAAACAATTATACAAAAAATCATGTACATATTTTGACAGTTCTAAATAATACATATATATATACTTGATTTTACTTTGTGGAAAAGTAACTTTTGACAGTTTTAGATTGTTACTAGCTGTAGCTGGAAAAAAAAAATGAAAAAAAAAAATCTATTTTTTTCCAGTAGGGCAGTGGGAAGTTTGACAGTTCATCAGGTTTATAACAAGAGACTTATGGTACGGGTAAGCCCATAAAGCTGTTCCCATAAAGAGATGACTGGAAAACAAGAGCACACTCGTTTCTGCTTTGACAGGGGGAACAAGGAAACATCGGTCAGAAGAAACCTGTTTTTTTTTCTTTCGGGGTGGTGGAACTCAAGGGATAAAAGATGAGCAGTATTACACAGCACTTGTGCCTGCACTGTTTCATTTTCCCCCGGGGCTGCTTGAGCCATGGGTGTAACAGTAAGAATTTCAATACAAACTGGAAACCGACCCCCTCCTTTCAGTTCAACAGCATACTATGAACAAAATTCAAGAGAGCCAAATACTTGGGATGTTGGGAGGGGGTTTCAAGGAAAGGGACGAGGATGAAAATTATTGGGAAAAAAGTCTTCTAGTTCCCAGCAAATTTTACAATTTCAATCCCCCCCCCCGCCCCAATTTCAGTGACGACTGAAGTACCAGTTTGCCTTGATTCAGAAACACCATTAAGATGTTTCAGAAGACGCTGGTTAAAAAGGGACAGAAGCCTTCAGCTTCAAAATACAGTAATTTTTAATTAAGAGAAAAGTGGAATAATCCAACTGGACCGCTAGATTAAGATGCTATTAAAAGACAACCAGGAGGGTCAATAAAATGAAGTTAATTTCTTTACGCAGGTGTAGAGAGAGGCTATTTTAAGTATGTGAGTGAATAGGTAGGTGTGGGTACTTCCACAACCCAGCAATGCTTCCAACTACTTCAGCGTACCAACCAACCGTTGATCTGGCAGAAACTCTGTTTTACTTTATAGGTCTCAGGTTTGTATCAGAATATCTACAGGTATTCCTTTCTCTGTTTCTTTTGGAATTTTGAGAGATTACAGGTTTAGGGTTTTTTAGTTTTGTTGTTGGCTTGGGTTTTCTTTTAAATTTTGGGCATCTAATATTTAATGAATACATATGCAAGTACACACAAGAAAAGTGTATAGGTGTCTCAGTTTTAAAAGGCATGTTTTTCCTCTTTTTCATACAATCACCATTCTTTTTTCAAGTCTTGCTTCTCCTGCCCCAGGTTACATTCTCCAACTTGTTAGTCACGTATGCAGCTTTCAAACGCCAGTATCTGGTACAGCATTATGGAATTTCCTGAGTCGGGTTTATTCATCATTATCTGTAAAAAGCAGGAGAGGAGGAGAGACGGGGTGAAAAGGAGCGACAGACACACACGCAAAAGCAAGCTGGGGTTACAAACCAAACTAGAAACCACAGTTTCGTAAGCAGTAATACAAGAAGTCACTAAGTCACCAGAGAGGTGACTCTCCCCACAACTGCCTTGAAAGCACGATGTGTACAAACATCGTGTGTTTGTACACGATGGTCATCAACATGATCTCGTCTTTCTCGGATTACTGAATTTCAGATAGTTTTTCATCTCAAGTGGCCTGCTTCAGTTAGAACAATCCTCTTGGTACATTGTTTTTTTCCCTAACGTTTCTTATTTGAGGAGTATAAAACTTTTGAGACAGAAGCTCATGAACATGTGTCTGACTGTCACTTGTCCTCTATTCACCTGCATTAGCATACGATTTTTTTCTTTCAATGTCTGAACTGTAAAGAACGACTTTGAATGTAGTCCTTTATGTACTTTAGTACTCAAATACTACATGTACTTTAAATGGCTGACATGTAAAGAAGTACTTTTTCCTTTACATTTTTGTACGCTGCCACAGATTTGTAAAACACAGATTTGGAAGTGAAGCTATTAAAAATAGCCACTTGTTAATCAGCATTTTGCAAGATGAAAGTCAGCTCATTTTAATAGGATTCACTCCAACAACAGCTTACAATTTGTATGCCAACATTTCAGCAAATTGTCATTTAGCCTCTTAGAACTAGTTTTAAAATAAACTTAAGGCAAAGCAGCAAGGAAAAGAAAGCGCTAACAGTATAGTTAGCATTTTCTTCTCGTTCGATCTTGCCAGTACTCTGGATGCTTGAGAAATGAACTACTACAATGTACCTTTCCAAGTCCGTCATTAAATCAATAAATTGTGGTTGAAAAAAATATTTTTCAGACCCTTTTCATACTTCTGTAACACAGCACAAAAACAACATGGTACTTGTTATTCTTACTGAGTCATTCCGTATCAGTAGCAAAGATAAATTGGGAAAATTTAATTTGTATTAGAATTTTTTTTTAATTATTATGTTTTTAAAACTAGTGTTTAAGACTTTCCTCTGCCCCAAGCATTTACATATAAAAACCATAGAAAGCCATAATCTTATTTTACCCTTTACTCACTGCTCTTGCAACACATTTGTGAAAGAATTTAAAAGATGCAGAAAGCAGACGTTAGGTAACATGCATTAGAATATTTTTTCAAAATTGAAATACATGATATAATAACCATTGCACACATTTCTAAAGCCAATATATAATGCTTCTGATTTCTATAAAAATAATTGAGATTTTTAGATTTCTTTTTTTTTCTCCTCTGTAAACACTTCCATCATTAGAAATCTAAACTTAGAAACTGCAGTTACATTTCTGACATAAGAGAAAAAAAACCCCAACCCGATTTCTCATTGATAGTGGTCGATGTGGTATTTCACAGAGTGACTCTGCAAGACGTAGGAACTCCCCGTCTGCCTGGTGATCTGTGCCACGCTAGCCATGGCTCAAAAGCACGATCAATTCTCTTCATCTATGGCTAAGCCACCTGAAAACTAAGATGGATGTCACCTCCATGTCAAGTTCTGAAAAATTATGATTACAGAATAAAGAGCCACAGCAAAGTTCCTTTTCAGAAAAGCAGTGATACTGCAACCCGTTAAAAGCAGAGTTTTAGAAAGAACATAATTTTAGCTAAAAGTTCATTAATTCTCAAGACAAAATTGTTTTTAATTCTGAAAGTTTTATTCTAGACTTCCATCTTCCCAATCTGCGTAACGGTTTTACGGAAATGAAGTAATTCTACCACAACCTCTCCTAAGACAACTACTGCTACAGTCGACTGTACATGTACACACTGGTAAAGCAGAGCGGCCAGCACGCTTAATCAGAGTTTGCCACGTTTTGTTGCAGGAATAAAAATACCCTTTGTGAAAGAAATTATTTTTATCAATTTAGCCAATCAATATAACAAAACACATATGTTTTAAAAGCATATTTAAAAGTCTATGACCAAGAAAGAAGGTAAGAGAAGCCGTAGTTGCCAGGATGCAGTGAGGTTACCTTCTTGGTAGGCTCCGTCTGCCATTACTAGGTGAAGTATTTTGGCGTACAGGTGTTTGTGTTCATTTCCAAGAATATTCTGAACTATGGTTGAACAAATATCAATATTTTCATCTTCATCTTCATGTATAGCCTGGGAGAAAGGACAACACACGTTGCCAAAATGAAAACGGGTGTAGAATTGAATAGTTCAAATGTATGAAACGCAGTTCATGGTTAAATGTAGTTTTCCTATTCAATCCACTGGCACGGCATTTTCTCCATTAATATTTTAGTGTGTCAAAACAGAATAAAAGGGAAGAAATAAGCACTGATTCTAGGCCCACAATGCAATTAGTTACTGGCACATCAAACGGCCCTAGGTACTTGTTTCTTAAAATATTTTCCACTCGAGGTTATTCCACAAACCTTTATTTTCTCATAAACTTCAATGAATTTATCAAAGCCTATTTCCCGCTCCAGGTTATATCTCAACTCTTCCAAATGGCTGAAGATACTGTCGCCTTCTTCACATTCACTGGCAATCTCTCCATCGCTGTTATCTATAAAGAAAGAAAACACCAGTAAACCCCGCTCAGTTTTCCTACATTCTGAACGTTGTTTCCATGTCCTTAACCTCGATATCCACACAGACTTTGAAACGTAACAGCAGTGGGCAAGCCCAGGGTAAGCATCAGTTGGCAGAGGCTCTGAACAACTTGCAAGGGAACGGGAACAGCCCCTTTTGGGACAGCAAAGATGTTCTGAATCCCAGTTGCTGTCTCCTCTAAACACCCACTCTGACCGTTGGCTGTAAGGGCACTCACACTGCAGGAGAACAAGGTATGGTCTAAAAGCAGACTTCTGTTGAGCAAAGCCACGTTAGCAAGTCACGTGCCATATCTCCATTCCACCGGTTTCTGAGGTGGAAGCGATGCTGGGTTCAGTGGCTGCCCCACGCTAGGGAAAAAGAGCTCCGTAATGAAGCAGCTGTCTTCCAGCAGAAAGCAAGGACACGTATGGTAAGAATCAGTTAGTTAGTGTCTGCACCGAGACACACCTTGTTCCATGGAGCAGGTCTAAACAGCCCAATACTAATTTCACTACAAAGTTCCTCATTTTTTTTACCAGCGCATCTCCCTTGGGTAGCAAATTCAGTATGCCAATCGCTGCAGTAAGATATGCGAGAGAAATCAAGATGATTTTGCTTATAGGCTACAGAAGCCTTACAAATAGGTTGGTAACTGTCAAACGTTAGGCAAGTTTAACAAAAAAAAGGATCTATTGAAAAATCCAAGATAGAATCCCTCTGTCAAGTCCTATTATAAAATGCAAATTCCTTTTGCCCAAGAAAAATACTTCCTCAAATAAGGATTTGAATTATGAAAGGACTCACCTACCCAGGGAAAAAATAAGACTTTTTAGATTCCAGAGCTTATATTATCAAATCTTTAAAAAAAATACACAGTATTGCCTGGTAGGTCATAGACTTTGTAAGTTAGTATTAAAACTCTACTGCTTTCAATTCCTATATATGACTCGTGTAAGGTATAATCCTGACCAAAGCATATCCCCGACTCAAGTATCAACAGTCACATCAACAAGAAATGATCACTGAAATAAAAAGAAGAGTTATACGTGGGTTAGAAACCCATCAGATGACTTCTGCTCCTGTATTTAAGTTCCAAATCTTGAACAGAACCAAATACCGTAACCCTCGCTACAACAACGGAATCACAGAGTATTGTGTGTTATCAGCATGTAACATCGGCACTGTCAAAAAAGGAAAGAAGATGGTATTGCCTAAGTTGGTTTTACCTTAAAATGCTTATTGGAAGACTTTATCTATAGAATACATTCCAGGTATATTCACATATTTTCAATTGGTTTAAAATCTTCTTCAATAAACCAAAATTACACAAAAGCTATGTTTTCCATTAGTTACTGGGTTTCTACATCTTTTTATACCTGTATTTCTAAATGCACTTTCTTTTACAGCAGTAGTGCAATACATGTATCTCAACCAGAACTTAAGAACCAGAACTGAGACTTCAGGACACCCTTGTCTATAGCTAACACAAAATACTAAAAGCAGGAATAAATTTTTCCGTCTCCTTTTTAGGTTGCCTGCATTCATAGCTGTTTGGGGCTAAGGACAAGGTTCCTTTCGACTGCCTGTTAAATTACTTAACTGTCATGTAAGCCAGATCCCAGATACTCCAGTCATGTCAGTCGCTATTTCTTTTTCACTCTTACATTGCAGTCATGAATTATTCAAAACATACCATGTGCAGAGTCTTTGATCTCCCTTGAAGACAAGTGTTACACAACTAGAGAAAAAAGTGACTTATAATCACTGCCTAATGAATAGCCAACATTTAATTCGCAGCTTCGAATTTTGCTTAGATGTTGACCTTAACATTCAGAAAGTCTAAGTATTGTCAGATTTTTTAAAATTCTGTACAAAAACTACTACTTAGAGCTTTATTCCATTATAAGTATACAATGCAAAAACACCATTCTGTGTTTGAACTGTTAACATCAATAAATAACTTCTAAAACAGGTATAATAGAAGTTCTACCTGACTGCCATTCTTCATTAAGTGCACTTTCACTGCTGGGGTTATTTTCGTCTCCTTCATCCAGCTCCGTACCATTTGTGACGCATTCGATGACATTGGCCTTTAAAGTAGACGACTCCTCCTCTTCGCTGAATTCCTCACTGGGCTGCTCTCTCAGCAGTTGTTCCATTGAGGCCTGGAGTTCCTGCAAATCTGTGTCTGCCTCCTCAAACGCGCTAAAAGGAAGAGATAGACAGTTTATATAGTTAATATTTGACAAGACAAACCCTGTAGGAAGAGCTCATTTCTTTTGTTAAGCCAAACAACTGGAAAGCCAATGCGGCTGGAGGAAAAGAAAAGAAAAACCAAAACCCCCCAAACGAACAAACAAAAAACCCCAAAAGACAAACATTTGCGTCCTCAGTCCAACAGGATTACAGCACTGATACCATTATATCATGCAAGACACAGGGAATAAAAGATAAGATAAACAGATAGCAGACCATTTCGTAAAAAGATGGCGATGTGTCCTCAATTCAACTTCATTAGTAAGATAATTTCAAAAATCTTTGTATTTGTGCACTGTTATAGATGCCTGGCAAGTATAACATTCCCAATCCAGATAAAAAAAAGAGATCTAGATCTCATCAGAATAGATACCCCAGATGGTTTCATCCTTGCAGCCTACCCAAGCCACAGGGAATAGTCAAGAGCCAGGGTCAGATTTTGAAGCCCCTGAAAGAATTTCGGGGACTTAAAGGACATCCCGATACAACAGTAGAGAAGACAGACGAGCAAGATACCCAGAACACAGGAATAAAGGAAATATTCAGGAAATCTTTCTTTCTAGAATAGCGGTAGCCATCAACTTGGATCCACTTCAGCAGAATGCAAGGTGCAGAATGCAGAGAAAATAGCATCTTGGATGGAATTTGGATAGGGAATTGCGACAGCTATTGTAAGCAGTACATCCCATTAGCTCCTCCAGTCTCTGGAACAAGACTCAAAGTAAGTGGTGGTTCAATACAAGATTTTTAAAATGTGGGTAAAAAACCCACGCTGGTATACTCTGCATAACTGTTAGTGTCTAGCCAAAGACAGTCCTGATCCAAGATGCCTGTTGAACTATTTGATAAACATGATACACTCACATATCCTCAGAATCAGAGGGTCCTTCTTTGGCTTGCTCATCTTCCATATCATCTATTTCAAGATGATGTTGCTGCACATCTGCCACGCTGGGAACATCAACTAAAGTTCTGTACAGTTTGTAAAGATCCGGGAGTGAACATGTTCTCAACATCTGCAGGGGTAACAGAAAGCCTCTTTGGTAACGATACTCAAGACAGTCTGAGGTTACAAAATACTTTAAAATGAGATATTTATTTTTTTTTAATCCTTTTTCATTTGAAGGTCAATTTCAAAACAATGATGATGCGTCCAGCACAGCCACCCCAGTTATTGAAAAATCTGGCATCTTGAGTTTTGCCTCTAAGCTCAAAGGGAAGCATTCTTTCTGCCTTTATGGGTCACAGGGATTGAAAAGCTCTAAGAACATCAACTAACATACAGAGCCTGGTTTTGTGCAGGTTTGTTGATTACCTAAAGAAAAGGAATGTTGCAGTAGATAAATAATATATATATGCAATTGTTTACAATGTATGGATGTCAATCACTTACAGCTTAGAACCATTTTAAGTAGCTAACAAAGGAATGGTTTTTAAAATGCCATTTTATTATTTCTCTAGGTTGGTCACTGAAAACAGTAACATTTGTTTATGGTATATTTCTGGGCAGTTCCGTAGCATTAGAAAGAAGTTCATTACAAGAAGTATTAGAAAGAAGTTCAAATTACAACAGTAACTTGTTGCAATGGAAATAAAGCATCATGGAAACAAAGCAACTGTTTGCTCAGCGATCTACCAGATCTCTCTGAGAACCCCCCCAAATTACTAAGCATTCACCGCAGTATTAACAAAACAAGAAGGGAGACCTAGTCTGTACCAAGCAGTTTTACCAATAAGCCGCACCTTCCTTCAGCAGAGCTCTGAATACATGCGTGTTCACTGTTTGCTCTTAATGAAAATCCTTAAATTTTAATGAAAAAAAACAGTTCCTCAGCTGCAGTTTATACCAGCAGGGTATATTCATGCACGTGATCAAATATCAAATCTCTGTCAGTAAAGGGCCAGAATATTATTGCCATCAAAGGAGTAACCACCATTTTTGACCACTACTACCAAGGTGAAGGAACAATTAGAAGACCGATTTCACCCCATCATTTGAAAGTTTCCAAGTATTTTGAAAAACGCTTCTTTTCCTATTAGTCACCTTCTGTTAGCACACAGACCTGCCTACGGATAGGACACGAACTGTCTGCCCTGCTCCCTCCTAAAGGTCTCCTTCCTTTCTGCGTTAAGAGCTACAGCAGAGGTGTATTTAGGAAATTCCAGAAAGTTACATTTGCATGCTGAAGCAGCTCATATTGATACGCTGAAGAACTTCATTGTAAAGCATTGCCATTACTTTCTAAGTCTGAGCAGGGTACAAAGAATGTTCATCTTCCCCCTCCTCACAAGTTCGCTTTTCTGTAATCATTGTCCAACTGCCAGATAAACAGCTTCGTAAACTAGGGAAGTTAATGACAGACTAACTCTTGAGGGATCAAAATTAGAGTCATAAATCCACGTATGGGGATATATGGATCTGTCAAAACAGACACAAGCTTGTTAAGAAGCCTTACTTTTTTATCAGCGCTATCCCTGATACTGTGCAATGCATCAACCAATAGATATTATTCAGTATTCCATTAATCATTAACAGTGCAGCTTGTTTCATGCTCTCACAAAAAGAGGCTGGGAGTCAAAAGAAGAAACATTGTTCCTTATCTGGCATTCCAGCACCTAGGAAATCCTTTACTACATACTGACTGAATGCAAAGCGGGCGTGCAGGATTCCAGAGAACCCTTGCCACCATCGCTTCTCCAAGAAGCGGCTGCTTTTTTACACACTTCCCACTTGTGGAACCCAGGCAAGTATTGCACATAATTTAAGAAGTCTGTTTCAACTACTAGTTCCATATATATTCTTAAAATATTTTAAGTTTGTATCAAAACCACATTCCACCATCCTATGCTCATTTCTTAGACTGTGAGCTGCCACTCAACCCTATGCAGCTGGTCACGAAAAGCGGTTTGTTCTAGTCACTCTTCTTCAGCCTTCCTGCTTCACAGCCAGAACCTGCGCCAGGTGGTTAAACCCTACAGGCAAAAACCCAATCGCTTGATTGCCAGAAACGACAAGATACCTTTGCTGATCTGTTCAGTGTTTACATTTATGGTAGTCCCGTAGTGACAAGTCTGAAAAAACTGCACAAAAGGCAGAAAGCAGACAGGGGAAGTTTGGAATTTCCTCCTGAACTCCCTCAGAGAAGTGCTGGCATTCCTCCCCAAACGCCTGGACATAAAATGCTGAATAAAAACATAAGAAGAGTATTCCATATATATCCTATAAAAAAAACAAGTATTCTTTTTTAGTTTTTTTAAACTTGCCTTTGGGTCGTTTGCATCAAAAAGCCCTGTAGAAAGTCCAATCAGCAATGAACTTTTGCCTTTATTTTTTGCTGGTGATATGGAACGCAAACGAGGTACAAAAGGCTCTTCCTGCGAAGACTGAGCTGACAGAACTGGCGAGGTTGTTGGTACAGCCGGGGGCTGCATCACCCTCTGGAACAAGGGTTCAGGTTGCAGAGAGTCACTGGAACAAGTTTCTGATGTAGTAAAAGAAAGTCCATTACAAATCTAAATAGATTAAAAACCCCAAGATCTTGAGCAACAGGTAACTAAAGTGAATAAAACTAACTCATTTCTGTTGTACAATTAAAGGGGAAAAGAGAGAGCACTGTAAAAGTATTAATAACTCTTTGGATTATTTTTGTAAATATATTATAATGTGAAATTCTGCCATTTTAACTTTTTGAGAACATACAGCCCTCAGCTATAGCCTATTCTGTTCTTATGCCTTGTAGTTTCTCGTTATCCAGTCCATACCTGAAATTACGGTGTCATCCATTTTCATCTGTTGCTTCTTGCCTTATGCTAGATGTCTTCAAAGCTACCTCAACACAATTCGCCCAAACACTGGGGGGGCGGAATACACCCCAGTTTGCTTAAGCCACCCATAAACAGATGCACAAGTATCACCAATGATACTTGACACTATCGCTGAAGTATTTTCTATTTTACTGTAAAATATGCAGACTGTCTGAAGCTACTTCAAAAACCTCCGAGAGCAAGCAATTCTTCTACGCAATAAAGATAAAACATTATCACTAGCAGCTGCTTAAAACTTTTTTTTAAATCCAAGCTGCAGCTCAATATTCATCTGAGACGTCTATGAACAAAGCAACACTTAAGTAAAATCACTGGATTTCATAACATTTTAAGTAGTCATTTTAAAAGGTCATAACATTCATTGGCATTCACTTTGAAGTATCAGCGTGGGCCACTGCCCTGTTCATCTATACATAGCATAGCTTTGTTGTTTCGTGCTGTCTTCCAAAGGTGGCAAAAATAACACCCACAATTTGTATTCCTAATCCATCAGAAATTTGCTTTTTAGAAATATGAACTGAAAAAAGAAAATGAAAACATAAAACTGGCTCTTTTGGGGTTAGTGAAGAAGCAAGAAGGGATGGCTCAGGTACTCCATGCTGCCAGCTACAACCACCAAAACAGGAGACTTCAACTGACCTTCTGGAGCTTCCTCGTGTGGTTGCACCTTGCCAAATGGTACTTCCTCAGAAGCTGCCTCATTTCTTCTGTCATCTTGTGTCCTATTATCAAATACCACACCCAGGGGAAACACCGTGTAAAAATAGTCATATTTTATAGGTGACTGAGAAAAATCCTCAGCCACCAAGTGCAGTAAAACTCACATGGCAGACAAGCAACGAAGCTTTAGCTAAACTCAACATTTTTAACAGATGTATCTAAATCCTACTCAGTTTAAGTGAGTTGTCTGAACCGGAGAGAGAGGGGGATCAGAAGAAGAGAGTACTTACTTATCCTCTTTCTCTTTTACCCACACTTCGCTGACAGTGATGGGAAATTCCTTACTCTCCTTACTCTGGTGCTTTTTACCTTCTTCAGTTTCTTCCAACATCTCTGCTTCCAAATCATCAGGCTCTAAAATTAATAAAGTCACATACCTCATTAAAAATGAACGTCAACCAACTAAAAGACAGGAGAGACTATACATCTTAAGATAAATACTTCAGCTTTAATAATTTTCTGCATTTTGCAGAAACAGTTGAAGTTTTGTAACTCCAGAGCTAACAGTTTGTTTCTGGTACAAGAAAAGTATCTTAAAGTTCCAACAAACTAGGTCTTCTAAAAACCACAGTAGTGTTCCCCCAGATATCAGCATGGTGCTGGTATCATAAAGGGGAAAAGATTCCAGCACAATTGACAAGGAGAAACAAACAAAAACCCCAACAACAACAAAATTGAAGCACTTCAGAACTCTACTTGTATTCTAGAGAGTTTTCTATAAGCACAGGAAAAAGATTTCTGGAAATTTACAAAATATGTTAGTCAAATGACAACTCAGGCATAGAAAGCACTACCTAAAAGGTGTTAATAAAAAACCTGCACATTACTTATGGGCAGATATAAAAATATACAGGATCATTACACTTCCCTCCTTGAACTGGAGAACAGGTTGTAATCAGAATTATGAATGAAATGACTTACCATCCAGCACAATAGGTTTGCTCTGCACCTGGGGAGGTCCAGCTCTTTGAGATTCTTCTGGTATAGTCACGTCAGACTCTGTGACACCAACTGGTACAGAAGACTGAGCTCTGTCTGTAGGAAAAGCTTTCTCTTCTTTCTCCTCTTTTACAATTAAGGACTGATGATCTCCTTCAAGAAGTTCTGCAGTACCTAACACAAAATTAATCTATTATTTAAGCAGTGCTTTGACACAGTTTGATAATAAACTATAACGTGACTACAAGGTAAGTTGAGAAGTTTTGCTTCTTTAAAGGAAAACAGAATAGAAAAGTTTGCTTGCTTTTATGATAACTATTATGAAGAGGAAAGCTAGAAATATTAAAATTTGAATTTTACTCGCTACATTATCATTAGTACAAGTTTGTACTTGGAATAAACTTAAGTCCTTTTGTCTTGGAAAGGAGAAAAAGCAGGAGTTGACCAGAAAAAATACCCACTGATACGGTAAGTCACCTGCTAACAAGAAGGTTATAAGACCTATCTAATACAACAGTCTGTTGATGACATCCTTTTAAAAACCAGACTTGTTTCTATCAATAAGCAAAGTTCAAGACTTTTCAACAAAATGAAGATCCTTCCCTTTCAGCGTATCCTTCTTAATTTCTTACCACTTTGCTGAGTTTGAAATATTTTGGTGTCTTCCAGTATCAGCTTGTGCTGACATTTAGAACTGAGGCAACACCCAGAAGTGGAATAGAATATGCTTCTATAACTTCAAAATTGTTCTTGGTAGACAAGCTGGCAACCTGGCACTTCTTACACTTGCAGTGCAGATAATTACCAGCTGTGCTTACCATTTATGACATCTAGTTCCTCAAGCAAGTCAGTTTGCAGCTGCAACTCTGCTTCTCCTAGGATCTTCAGGACTGAATCAGTAGGGCTTTTGCCCCAGACCTTCCTGTGGGGTTCACCACTATCGAACCTAATTACTTCCCCCAGAGTTTGACCTGTGGAGACACAAACGCAAATACAGCAGCTTTTAGAAATCAGAAACTTTTATTCATTTTCTATATAATAAAGAAACAAACAACCTCCATAAAACCAAAAACTTCAAAGCCAGAGCTCACGTCACCTCACTCCAAGTCAGACAGCCTAAAGACTGTGCTCAAAAGCCTAGAGTTTTTCTTCTGCCAATTCCATTTAATAACAGGAGTTATTCAATGCCAGTTAACCTGTGCAACTGCATAGCAGCAGATGTTTTCAGCAAATCAGGCACTCCAAAAGCAAACAGTATGAGAAATGTTTAAAACTGGCATGAGATGGTCTTAACTTGACCTGAAAAGGTAAACTAGAAAGTCTTGTCCTGCTGTCCTTTGACATTTGTTTCTGTTACTTCTCTCTCCAAGGAAAACAGAGGATATAAAGCAACAAAGAATAGAGCAAAAGAAGAAGTTTTTTGATCTTCTGACGTCCTAGCAGTGTAAAACTACTATGCAAGTAGTAAGTCTGTCACATTCACGATGATTATTTATTTCTACAATGTGAAACAGACCCTTAATAAGACACATCGAAACGACAAAAAAGGTCTTCCACTCAAAAGACCAGGGAAGGCAAACAGAAAATTTGAAGACAGGCTTGATTTAAAAAAAAGAAAAAAGCTAAGAAGGGCGCAATAAAAGTAACAAGATACATACTGAGAAAACCCTCAGTTTTTATTGTTCTACTGATAACATGAAAGGATTTTGAAGCTAAATAAGAAACTTTCATATCTCTGAAGTGCTTTTTATTCTTGCTGTTGAATTAGAGCCTATTTAAAAGACACAAAGAAAGATCAAAAAAGTAACCATGCATTTAATTAGGTAACTATTTGTTGAAATTAGGAAATTATTTGTTGAATTTCCTGCAGGCCATTTAATTTCTTAGCCTATGCCTTATTCCTTACCCAAGGGAATACATAACCACCTGTTTTTTAGAAGCAGGTGACACGCAACTGGTAACAAGAGGATAATAATAGAGCACTTGCCTTATAAAAACAGACACTACCTATGGTAAACTGATTTACTAATATCATGCTAACAAATAAAGTACTTACGGTCTGTTCCGGAGAGAGAATCTTCCATTGATAACTGAGCTAGAGGAACTACCAACTCAGATACCTCAGATTCCCATTTTTTGCGATCTCCTAGAAGAGGAGAGTCACCTTCTTGTTGTTCCTTAGCACCTTCAGACCCAGCTGATTCAGCGATATTTTTACACTCCTTTTTTCCTTTCTCATCTTCTGGAGCTTTAAGATTTTGATTTAATCTTCTCAGTATTTCTCGTTTATTCTGAAATAAGGGCCAACATATATCACTTAAAATAGTACCTTTCTTAAAAGAAAACTAAATGAAACTGAATACAATTTGACATACTTGCATTCCAAGATCTGCCTTTTCTATTTCCTCCTCAGCTTCCTGGATAGCAGTTACGCTTTCCTCCTTTAAGTCCAAGAAGCATGAAATACAATGTAGAAGAATGTGTCAGAAAAAAAATAATCTTGAGAATATTAATAGACGTAATAGTGAAAAATCACCTCTAAAACCTTTTCATCGACAACTGCAGATAGACTGAAACAGAAGGTATGATACTTCTGTTTTTATGGGGCTTCCCAAAGACAGAATTTCAAGGGCAGTTTCCATCTTTGAACCATTCACTATCTGAAAGTGGTGCACAAATGAATCAGACACAGTTTAAGCAGAGAAGTGAAAGTTCAGAGCACAAAACGTGTAGAGATAAAGCTAGATGTGACCTCTACGGCAAAACGCCACCAAATTCCAAAGCTAGAAATAAGTAATTCTATAAGAGAACAAAAAAAGAGGCAAGGACAGAGTCAAGGAGCACCTAGCAAAACACCACCAAATTCCAAAGCTAGAAATGAGTAATTCTATAAGAGAACAAAAGAAGAGGCAAGGACAGAGTCAAGGAGCACCTGTAAAGAAAAGCAGAAGGGAGAAGAGACAATTTTAGCGATATGTAAAATAATCAAACTAAAAATGGAAGGCAAAAACGTAGAACTTATAACCTTTGTGTACAAAGCTTGTCTTCTCCAATTGCTCTGTGTGCTAATTTTTAGGCAGTTACAGTCACCATCTTGCATTACTGTAAGACAAACTATCCACATGGAGAAAAAGTGCTACTAAGTATTTGTCAAAACACAATTTGTTTATTTTTCTGGCTACCAACTGATATCTTCCAGTGTATTATATTTTATATACACTATTTAGCAACAAGTTTCGCTAGCCTTCAGGGTTGTATATAGTATATAATCCCACACTATGCTGAAATCTAGAAATAGCTTTGATAAAAAACCACAAAAGTTAGCATTCAAATTAACACAGAATGCGTTAAAAACTCAAATTGTACGATGATTCACTTGTATGCTCAGTTTCATAATTGTTACTTAAATCAATGGTGGCAGTCGAGGTAAAGACGGAAGCATTTACAGTATCAGGACCCAAGATCACAGAAAACAGAAATTAGGAAGCCTCTAATACTGTTTTAGACAACAAGAAGAGACAACATTATCAGCTTCAAGTCTCTTAAACTTTATATTCTCTGTTATATTCAGCACATACTTTCAAACTCACTGAAAACAAGAACTAATATAAAATAGTCCTATCATTCAAAATTTATTTTTTCGCTTCCACCAGGTTACAGACTCCTTAACTCCCCTCTTCAAGAGGCTGATGAAAATGCTGGTTAGTTGCTGCCTGGATAACAATCGAAATTGCAGCCTAGGGTTCACCATAAGCCATTTTGTTCAAAACTGACTGAGCTTGAGTTGCAGTGTACAGATGTATTTCAACTGCTTCGAAGTTTCAGTTTCTTTTTATATTTTTTTCTTTTTTTTTGTTTCCTTAATTAGAAGCAACAAGTATCCTTAACAATTTTTTTCTACTTAATCTACACATTCTTCTAAATATTTTTTTTAAATCCAGTTTGTTCCCCCCCGATTAATTTTACCCTCTTAGCAAAAGTACCTACCACACCCACTTCCTTCAAAGCAGATGTCATGGAGATGACTGGTATACCAGGCTTCACTGGAAGTTGTGGCTTAGGAAGAGCTGCTCCAAGCTCTTGTGGTCCATGCACAGGACTGTGCTCTGTAGCTCCCACATGAAAAGGCACATTAGGATTCTTTACCCCTTTCGCTATCAGCTGTATGGATTCAATTAAAAAAATTTAAATCAACAAATTAACTTCAAGACTTTGCACATTAAACCCCGTATTATCAAACAGGCTCACGTAAACCTTAGAAAAGGACACAGTAACGCCACAACTCTTCTTACAAAAGATAACTGCCAAGTGCACATGCGAACTATTTCCAGTTTATCAGCTTCACAACATCCTGCTTTTTGTAGCGATACATTACTAGTTGGATTTGTCACTCCACAACACACAGAAACAAAAGAAGGTTAAGGACACTTTGGTAAGTTACACGTAATTAATAAAATACTTAAGGTGATCCCAATGATTCTTAGTTTGATGTTCTTAAATTCTTGAACCAAATTCTTCATTCAAGTGTACCTAAGATTAGGTTTCTAGTAAGGGAATTCTGAAACTGAGGAGAGCATCTGTCAGTCAGAAGACAAACTAATTATCTAAGCTTGAAAAAAATCACAGTATGGGATTTTAGTTATACAAAGATACAGCACTACATACTTTGACTGCATTTAAAAGATTTATTTTCTTACGTGTTCTTCCCAGGCTCTTTTCTCTCTTTCATATGCTTCCTTTCTCTTTCGCTCTAACTGTTCTTTCAGAACTGCAGCTCGAGCATTTGCTTGGGCCTATAGTAAACAAGCAAAAAAAGACCAACTTAAAATCATAAAAAGCATTAACACCCCATTCCATGGGACATTTTAAAAAGAAATGTTCTTGGATTACTTCATCTTCCTTTCTCTCACTTATTAGTGTATAGACTGTGAGGGACCAAAATCACCACGTAAGTACAACAACTGATCTTCTATGTTGAAAATAATGGCAACTCCTCAAAATTTGATTAGTTCTTGATATGCATGGTTATATTTTCAGTGTACATAGTAATCTTAAACAGAGTAATGTAAAAATGAGATTCTCTACTTAAAATTAGTTTTGAAGCCAAATTCGTTAACCGCTAAACATTCAGTTTAAACTTTACAAACTTACTCAACATAAATACAAAAAGCTGTTTCACCTCCAGTTTTAAGGTTAGGCATAAGGTCAGCTTGTTTTAACATTGCTCTTTGCAGATAATGGGGGAAAAAACCCCACAGAATAGACAGAATAATACTTGCTATGTATCGTATGGTAGAGAGAGTGATTGATATAAGAACACCACATGGAATAAAGTTCCAATCAAACACTGAATTTCTGTGAAACACATTTTCTCTAAACGTACTTCATCGCAGGGGCATATAGCTCACCTTCCAATCTGCATGTAGCCCGTGTCAACACATGTAAAGAGGTTTACTTTCCTTTATTCTTTTAACTAAAGTAACACTGTTGTTATTTAAGGTACATCTCCCTTTCCTTTCAGTATCAAAATGCTATTTTAGTTATACCAAATTACCTTTGGGACTAAAGCTAACCTAGAGAAAAATCTCAAAAGCAGGGATAGGAGAAAATCCTTGACTTGCTATGCTATGTCACAATGTATTTTAAAATTACTGAGATAAAACACTTGAACAGAGTTGTTACCTCACTACAGTTAAAATAAAAGCCTCTTGCAGTGGGTGTATGAACAAACTATTGATAGCAAAATGAAAAGTAGGAAACTTCATGAGATCTGAAACAAATCCGAAAACACTAAGTTCCATCTCCTCGCTCCCCACAATTACCTTCTGTGCTTCTATCTTTCTGCGTTTCAATTCTGTTTCCTCGCTTGATTCTTGTCCATCAGAACTGGCAGCTTCATTCTGCAAAGTAAGAGTCCTCAGAGAATTATCATTAATTCATGTTTTTAAAAGATGAGTGATATACAGTCAGTCTACATGATCCAAGTAGTTACTTATAACTAACATGGGTCATAATTTCACTCGGTAACTCCTCACTCAAATGTAACGACTAGTTGGACAGAACTTCACCTGTGAGAGTTGTGAGGGGTTTTGCTTGGTTGGTTTTGGGGGGCGAAGTGTTGGTTTTAAAAGATATGACACTTTTACAAGCCAGGAAGAAAGTAATGTGCCTGCTGTTGCAAGGAGAGACCTAACAATGCCAGGCTCTCGCTTGCCACCCCTCATCACTGTTGCATGCTCTGCAGGAGGGGTACACAAGACAGGTTTGATGCTCTAGAATTTCAGTTTCTTCCATGGTCTGTGCTCCAAAGAAGGCTGAACGGGTCGGGGGGAAACAGTAACAAGTAAGAATATACAAGGTCTACCTCTGAAATCTCCATTTTTAATCTCTCTTACTTCTTCCTATGGCCTCTGCATATTCCTCTTTACAAGACTGACAGAGCTACGCAAAAAGGTCCTGATAGAATTGTTTTATTGGTTTTGATGAACTTGTACAGACCTTTTATTTAAAATAAAGTATTTAGAAGGCCTATTTAGTAGGCTTCTTGCAGTATAATAAAAGAGTATTATTGCAAATGATTTGGCAAAACACAAGCAAGAATTTTAGGTAATTTTTAAAGTGAAAATAAAAAAAACCTAAGGTCATGCCCACCTTGGCTTCAGTCAACAAACAGGAAAAAAAGATGACTGGAAAGAACACTTGAGATAGGAAAACTTCAGAAAAACAATTTGGCACTCTTCACAGCCAAAGCAACAAATACTCATATTCATCTACTGTATACAAAATAGGATACTATGCAGTTCAGGATGCTATGCAGTAGCAATAGATACAAAAGTGTTAATCAACATAAGGAAATAAACATAACTGTGACAAGATTTGGTCTGAGATGGTCTTCCTCTAGAAGTGAGCTTCCATGCTAAAGTTTGCATCTGCAGGTCATCAAGAAAAAAAACCTCTTAAACTTGGTCTCTGAATTCCGAAAATTAGTTTAGACCTACTTCCTAGAAAGGTATTAATCTGTTTTCTGTTCCTTTGTAGGTGGTATACCTTCTGGGGCGTACAACACTACCCCAGGTAAGGTACAGCCACTGGGAAAGGAAGTTACGTTCCTGATACACCTAATAACCCATACAGAGAATTAATGTCATGGTCACAGTAAGAGTAGTTTTGTTTGATTTTACTAGCACAAGCAGCCTTGGCCTGCACTGAAAAGGTTTCTGGAGACTTCTTTACTTCTGCAGTTAACCATACTGCAGGTAGAGTGGGGGTGCTGCAGCTGCTCAGTGAAAAAACCCGAAAGAAAGAGCGCAGTACAGCAATGGCTCTGTACTGATAACATTTTAGCACTGTCCTCAGTATGCTAAGGCTACTCAGGAGACACAGTAAGGTTTTGTAGGGCTGTGTATGGAGATGACTAGTCCCACTGCAGCAGTTTTGAAGCTTGTCCAAAACAACAGAAGAGAGAGAGTTATGAGTGAAATTAACAACAAATACAATCACGGTTAAAGAAAAATAAAAGAAAACAATTCAAAAGAAGTCACTAATACAGGAAAAAACCACAGTATTTTAACATTTAAAAAAACCAAACCCAAACCTAACAGCAATGCAGAACTGTTTAGATGGCATGGTGGACCAAAGACACTGAGTAGTACTGGGTGTGCTCTTGCCTTATACATCCACTCACTATACATAAAATGTATGAAAGCACTTAATATGGGTGCTTAAGGCTGGGAGCAAGGCAGGAACATTTCTCTAGTTTTAAATCACAAAGTAAAATGTGAATACATAAACAGGTAATCACTTGAGGAAACTCAAACACTCTATTAGGACAAAGGGACAGGAAGAACAAACAGGAGCACAAGTTCAGACAGTAGGTTAATGAAAAGATGGAAACAAACTCTGGACCATATTTATTGCATAGATTGCCTCTCAAATGAAACTTTTTTTAAACAAGTAAATGGATTGCTTCCAAGTGTGCCTTGAGTTATTCATTTGACACCTTAAGAAATGTTAGTTCTGAATCTACTTTATGAACACATTTTGGTTTTGTTGTATTATGAATATATTTTGGAAAAGTGATGCTTGAAAAAAGGTGTATTGATTAAACTGAGCTCATGCCAGGAATTTCAAACTTTAATACATGCCTACAGAATGTATGAAAAGAATTGCTTCATATGCATTCTGTGTGAGCATCATCAAAAAGCGAATCCTGGAGAAGTTCCTATAACTAAAAGCAAATAAATACAAACGTGGCAGTGCTTGATGAGAAATTTACGTGTCAAATTCAGATGCAACCCTATAGAATCATAGAACCATTTGGGCTGGAA